ACCACGCCCCATGATGACCGGTACTTGCGTACCTTGCACCTCCGAAATCGCTTCCTGACAGTGACGTCGTCGGCGACAAATGTCTTAGGTCACAGGGTTAGTCGACAGACAGTGGCCAGGAGACTCAGGGCTCATGGAATCAGGGCTTTTAGACCATACAGAGGACAGCTATTGACAGCGCAACATCGTCGTCTGCGATTGAGATGGGCCCGGACTGTACGACGTTGGCAACGACGTGACTGGCAGTGGATTGTCTTCACTGACGAAAGTCGATTCTGTATGTTTAGGGCTGATGGAAGACAACGTGTTTACCGCCGAAGGGGTGAACGAACTGCGGCGTGTTGCGTGCAGGAGGTTGTACCATATGGTGGTGGGAGTGTCATGGTGTGGGGAGGGATCTGTGGGCAGGAGAGGACACCGCTGATCATCGTTGACGGAAACTTGACAGCTCAGTGTTACATGGATAACATTCTTCGTCGAGTTGTCCTACCATTTCCCCAACAGCAGCCACGTGGTGTCATTTATCAGCATGACAACGCTAGAGCCCATACAGCCAGAATTGTCACTAACTTCCTCACAGCCAACAACGTCAACGCCCTGCCGTGGCCTGCACGCTCACCCGACATGTCCCCCATAGAACACCTCTGGGACTTGATTGATCGTCGTGTTCGCCAACGACCACACTCTCCGGCCAACCAGCCAGAACTGATCTTGGCCCTCCATGTTAATGGCGTCAAATCCCACGTGACCTCATCAGACGACTGACCTTTTCTGTGCGTCGAAGAGTGTTTGTGTATATTGAGGCATTTGGTGGTCACACACGCTACTAATGACTTGTTATTGAACGTGAGCGATTGTTTATGTACTCTGGCTATTGTCCACGATTCTGAAAGCTCGAGTTTTGTACTACACCCAACTTTCGGGGGCTCTGAAGTCGCGGTATGATTGTCATTTTCAGTGTTGATTATGTTGATATATTGATCTTCTCAATACACTTTACTTCATGCATGTATGTTTTGTTGTTTTTTAGCAAGAGTGATTTCAAACTCTGGTAAAGTTTCTTTTAGGCGTCAGTTTATATATCTCCGGATTTAAAACACATCGACGTTACATGTAAACACGTCTAGAGGTTCTAACAAAAGCAGATACATTATTATAGATTTACCCTATATACCAACTTCACATAGTTGACGCAGGAAATAATCAGGAATCAACAATCATGACAATCTGGGTCAGGATAGGTTTTTAACAACCAATGCTTGCCGTAACAGGCGACTATGCTTGTCGTAAAAGGCGACAAACGGGATCCGGTGGTCAAGCTCGCTGACTTGGTTGATGCTTGTCATTGTATCCTAGTTGCGTAGATCGATGCAAATGATGCCAATCACTGGATTGACTGGCCCAGACTCGATTATTATATTACAGACCGCTTTCGTACAGCTCGATTATTGCTGCGTCCGGCGTTAACCAACAAACAAACAAACATGTCTTTGAGTGTCAAATGCCTGGGAAAAGTCAATGAAGAGGCAGTAAAGTCTTTTCTTAACAATGTGTTTCTGATTTGTAGTCTGTAAATGCTGATATTTGTGTATGTGGTTGAAAAATATACGTGGTGAAAGACATGGTCATAAATGACATCTCACAAGAATATGTTGATGAATCCAGCTATATGACGGGGGTATGTAAATAATCGAGTCTAGACCAGACAATCCAGTGATTGACATCACGCGCATCAGTCTACCCAATTGGGATACGATGACATGTATCAAACAAGTCAGCGAGCATTACCACCCGATCCCGTTAGTCGCCTCTTACGACAAGCATAGTTGCTTTTTACGACAAGCATTGGTAGCTGAAGACCTATTCTAGCCCGGTCATTTTAAACATAATTAACTGAATACAGAACAGCATTAGCTGTACGCACACATTCAGTAGGTAATTTGGCATTGAAACCAACGCAGTTTTACGTCCTGTGTTGTACAGAATACATTATTCCAGATATTGTTCCAAGATTACACAAGTAAAGATATAAAGATTTAAATGGATCCTTTTAAAGTATTCTCATCCACGTGTCCTTTAGAGATGTTACGTATGGAAATATATTCACCATACGTAGGCCCCCTTGCTGGACAGTTGACAGACTTTCATCCTTGTTACTTTGTCATTTAAAGTAACAGGAAATTCATTTGGGGGATCAGGCAGTGATAATAAATATTTGAATTTTGAAACAAGGATTTGATGTTTACCACCTTTTCTATTGGTGTAACTATCCGTTTCATCCATCTGTTCATAATATGTTTTGGCTCAAATAAAGCTAAGTTTTCCAGATTTGTACAAAATCTTATTCCTAGAATTCTAAACTCTTCTCGTTTCCAACCTATAGACAGACCGCCTCCGTGGTCTAATAGTAGAGCGTCCGCCCGGAGAGCGGAAGGTCCGGGGTTCGATCCCCGACCGCGTCATACCAAAAGACGTTAAAAGATACTTGTTGTCACCCTGTCTGGCGTTCGGCATTAAGGGGATAAAACAAGGACTGGTCGGCTCGGAGTCAGTATCCTGTGTCTGAGTGGGGTATTCATGTTAAACTGCGGCATGGTATCTCAGTGAGCTAGCACTATAAATCGGCATCAGTCCGGACTAGTACAAGCAGCCACACACACACAATCACGTGCATGCACGTCGCTATATAAGTGCAATAATCTTGGACGCAACGTTAAACCCCATTTCACCTCACCTCACCAATAGACAAATCAGCTTTGAACTTTTGCTTAGGACCTCTCTTGTAGCCTAGCGAGATAGCTTGAGTTTTATTATAGTTAATCTTAAGACTAGATATCTTGGTAAAGCTATCGAAAGAATGACTACATGATACAAAGGAGGACTGACTACCATCAAATAGCTATTCCATCTCGTCAGCTACTGACTAAGAAGATCCTCACTACCGTCCACCAGGATATTGTCGTTGTAAGAACGGATCATATTGGCTGGTATTTCTGCACAGAGAATAAATATATATGATGACAATGGTGTCTGATGTTAAACCAAGATGAAAACAGACGATTGAAGGACGTTTTCTATCATTGTAAAATACAGGATTTCACCAAATCCTCACAAGGATAAAGCTTAAGCTTTTTCTAAAAATGACCAAACAGTGGAATCAAATGCCTTCTCACAGTCTATAAGATGAAGCATACCAGGATTGTTTGATTTATGTCTGTATATGAGATGGCATCGTAGACCAAGCGAATATTGTCACCAATGTAGCGACCTCTCATACAGCCAGTCTAATCTTCACTAACGATAACTGGTAACTTTGTTTCTGTTTGCTATGCATGAAGATGCATTCAACATATTGATAGTGATTCTGTATTGATATGGGCCTCCAGTTTGCCATGAATCGTCAAGGCGTGTCCCCCTTTGGAGAACAGTCAATAACCCCTTGTTTCTGAGTAACAGAGTTCACCTGATTTTAAACCATAATTCAATGATTCAGTAGTGATATGGGCCTCCAGTTGGCCATGAACCGTCCAGGCTTGTCCCCCTTTGGAGTACAGACAATGACCCCTTGTTTCTGAGTAACAGAGTTCACCTGATTTTAAACCATAATTCAATGATTCTGTAGTGATATGGGCCTCCAGTTGGCCATGAACCGCCCCGGCTTGTCCCCCTTTGGAATACAGGCAATAACCCCTTGTTTCTGAGTAGTAACAGTCAGAGAGTTCACCTGATTTTAAACAATAATTCAATGTTTCAGTAGTGATATGGGCCTCCAGTTGGCCACGAACCGTCCAGGCTTGTCCCCCTGAGGAATATAGACAATAACCCCTTGTTTCTGAGTAACAGAGTTCACTTGATTTTAAACCATAATTCAATGATTCAGTAGTGATATGGGCCTTCACTTGGCCATGAACCGTCCAGGCTTGTCCCCTTTGGAATACAGACAATAACCCCTTATTTCTGAGTAACAGTCTGAGAGTTCACCTGATTTTAAACAATAATTCAATGATTCTGTAGTGATATGGGCCTCCAGTTGACCATGAACCGCCCAGGCTTGTCCCCCTTTGGAATACAGACAATAACCCCTTGTTTCTGAGTAACAGTCTGCGAGTTCACCTGATTTTAAACAATAATTCAATGATTCTGTAGTGATATGGGCCTCCAGTTGGCCATGAACCGCCCAGGCTTGTCCCCCTTTGGAATACAGACAATAACCCCTTGTTTCTGAGTAACAGAGTTCACCTGATTTTAAACAATAATTCAATGATTCAGTAGTGATATGGGCCTCCAGTTGACCATGAACCGTCCAATGAACAAATAAAAATGTCCACTATCTTTCCAAAAGAATTTCAAAAATTCAGTGCAAGAAATCACCTTAACCTTGTGTTTTTGTTGTTTGACATATTCTTAAGAGCTTTGGCCAGTTCATCAAGATCTTCCTTCTCATTCACATATTTTTTTAAAAGGGGAGGGAATGTCTTTCCAATTACTAATAAAAGGTTATAATAAAAAATACCAATATTTGTTTCAAATAGCCGATCCTCGTTAAATTAGATTTGCTTACACTAAAATTAGACTAGTTTGGACCCTGTTAAAGAAAGTATTCTGTTTCTAAAAACAGAGGGCCGAAATGCGGTGAAGTGGTGACTTGTGCTTAAATTAATTCAAGCAATAAAATGAGAATTTCGTGCGAACCCTATCTTTGCTTTATACATAAGCAATGTTCAGTGAGGGTGATAGAGGCAACCCTGAAGCACATATTGCACGAGACATATTGTTCTTTCTTTGTGAGATGTAATCTGAATTATTATCGGTCAGAGGATTCCCTTGTTTCCCTCTCGCTGGAACAATGGCGTGGCTTGATTCGTTGGTTATAAATAATGACTGCACAATAAAGCGACCGTATATGACACACGGGTTATGGAGGAACGCAGTGTAAACAAACCTATGAAATATTGCTGACATACACTTTTTACAAAATAAATATTATAAACGATGTGAACAGGATCGAGACATTTATTTTTGCTTCATGTACAAATTGATGTCACAGTACAGAACCCAAATACTTCTCAGCTGACAGCATATCCGTTTCATTTCGGTTTAGTACATCTGGCGACTTGGGAGGGTCGAAACCCCTCTTCCACCGTCTCCCTGGTTCGCACTAACCTCTACCTGTTGACAAGTATATAAAATATATATAAATAATATGAAATTGTGATTGACGATGCAAACGTTCGTTTCAATTCGTATGGTTTAAATCAGTAAAGGGGAACATATGTCCCTTATGTGAGTGGTATGATTTTACGCCTCTTTTAGCAATATTCCTGCAATATTACGGCGATGGACACCAGAAATAAGCTCGACACATTGACTATCTGGGGAATCGAACCCAGACCGTCAGCGTGACGACCGAACGCTTTAACAACTACCCCACCGCCCCAATATCCCTAATGTATAAATGTGTGCGATAAAATGTACAATAACTATAAATACAATATTACGTCCTTATACAACAAATCCTTGCCCCATGAGAATTCTGGCTTAGAACATGTGGCCAGCAACCTATGCTGGTCGTAATAGAAGACGGTGAATTGGTCTGTGTCACGTCATCTTACAACGACGGCGTGGGACGTTGCTCAATATTGACTGGTTTGTCTGGTCCAGACTCGATTTGTTACGGTATTCCGTGATATAGCTGGAATACTGCTGAGTGCAGCGCTAACCAACCAACCAACAAACGAACAAACGAACAAGATCAAAACATCAATAAAAGCAACACTTGACACATACCTAAACATGTGTTCCGAGGAAAGCATTTACAGTAACCCAATTTAGCTTTTGGTACCATGTCTCAAGACATTTTGTTGTGGGAGTGGTGAACGTTCCTCGCACCTGGTAACTATACTCCTACATCTTCAATGTTAAAGTTCATTTTGGAATAGGAATAGGAAAGGGCTACACGAGTAAATCAATTTTGATGTATGGAATGAGTGAGTGAGTGAGTTTGGTTTTACGCCGCTTTTAGCAATATTCCAGCAATATCACGGCGGGGGACACCAGAAATGGGCTTCACACATTGTACTTATGTCGGATGTATGGAATGATAAAAAATGTCATCGAGTGTTAACATCAACAATAAGTTATCAAGTCATTTGTAAAATTATGTTTCTTAATTAACAACTTTTTGATTGTTTTTCACCTACACTATTATTAAAAACCAAAATTAATGATATTCAGCTATGACCCGTGCATACAATTCTGCGCGTTATTAACATACTGCTTCCAAAGATGGGAAAGTTTGGGACACTTAAAAGGGAACTTGGCTCGGGCAAACTGGCAGTTTCAGTAAATTTGACTCAAATTCAAACATCACTTTGTTTGCTTGCTAACTCAAATTGTAATTTGTTTACCATCTAACAATCCCTGTTCCACAAAATTTGCGTACTGATTTTCAAAAGGGGCATTGTCGGAATATTGATGACTCTGTGATCCTTCTGGGTAAATATGAACGTACACACCTCTGATGCACTTATATCCACCTTTTGGCTTGGCCACACACAGTTCCTTCCATTTGCACTTGTGATCTTGACAGGCTCCAGCAAGAACCTATGTAAATACAACAAATCAATCCTCAGAAAAACTCAAGACCACGGAGGCCACTCTAACTCTGCTTGTAGCTGCCTTGTGAACACAACGGAACTTTCTCAATACTTTTGTATATCCGATATTCAGACTCATATAAGTAATCTAAAACATAACTCGTTCCAGAAAATATTTGGAAAATGTTTTGTACAGGGAAGCAGCAAGGCTATAAAATCAATGAAAGAAGGTTTTGAAGCACAAAGGATTTCAAATTAAGAAACAAGTGTATCCTTGGAAACCCAAAGGCTATACAAGTAAACAGCAATGATATCAATGAGAGCAGCAAGGCGATCAATGACAGCAGCAAGGCTATAAAATCAATGAAAGAAGGTTTTAAAGCAGAAAGGATTTCAAATTAAGAAACAATTCCATCCATGGAAACCCAAAGGCTAAACGAGGAAGCAGCAATGATATCAATGAGAGCAGCAAGGCGATCAATGACAGCAGCAAGGCTGTCAATGGAAGTATTAAGGCTATTGGCAAAAAACAGTTAGTGATTGAGTGAGTTGGGTTTAACGCCGCTTTTAACATAATATCTCGTATTCGTTCATTTTGGGGATTTGGAAGTGGTGTATATTCATCTATATTTCAGATTAACGTGAAAGCTAATCATTTTAGTTTCAAATGTAAATCTGTTCATGCATAGATCATGAGGAATGTTGAGTGTTACGGCGGCGTCTGGTTGAGGTTAAGGAGAAGTTTATTTAGGTTATGCGAGATTCTTTGCCTTCGGGTTGAGTGGGTGAGTGAGTTGGGTTTAACGCCACTTTAAACAGTGTTCCAGTTATATAACGGCGTGTCAGCTTAATGTGGGAGGAAAGCCCGAAGTGATGAAGGTCTCAGACGTTTACCACTTAGGAGAAACCCACGAGCACGGGTATGGTGCTGACAAACCTAGAAACATAATCGGGGCGAACCAGGATTCGAACCCACAATCATAGGTTTCTGGCGTGCCTGAGGGACGCAACTCTGCACAGCGAATCGCGGCGCCTTAGACGACTGGGCCACCCGTACCCACCCCGGTACTTTTTAAAGACAAAGGTTTCGGTTGGGTGTCTTTCTTTTTCCTAGGCACATTTTTTGCCATGATCAGCAGAACCCTTGACCTAAAAAATAATAATATGTCGCCCTTATAGGCATTTTTTTTAACTTGTTACATTATGAGGTGGTCCTTTTTGCAAACTGTAGCTTTAAGATAAAACACAATGACTTTATGCTCGTTATCGTAAAAATGCAGAAAGTACCGTCGGAATCTTATGTATAAAAAAATATTGGTTTATATGTTTCGTATTTCTTATAGACAAAGGGTCGGTCGGATGTCTTTCTTATTCCTAGCCACAGCGATTTGCCATGATCAGCAGATCCGTTAACCTAAATTAAAAATAAAATAAGGCTTATTTGGATCCCCAACAGGCATTGTTAACTTTTCACTTGTTACATGATGAGGTGGTATATTTTGCAAGCTCAGCATACAGATAAAACACAATCACGTTATGATAGTGATCTTAAAAAGACAGTACGAAAATACAGAACGTACCGTCGGAATCTTAAGCGTAAGGACAAGCCTCGACTCACACATCCCCGGATCAGTAATCTTTGTACTGTTGTGGCACTTAATAAAGCAGCTATAGGGCTTCCGGCCCCCGGTGAGAGAGTACATAACTGCAGTACAGCAAGCTCTGCGGAGGCATTCGTTGATGCAGTGGAGTGGACTTAAAGTATTCTTCTTCGTTCCTTTTTGCACCAACCCCATCATTGCGTCCTCGAAACGAAAATTAGATGTTTCCTTAGTAATCAGTACCAGAATCACAGCTGCGATGCAGCAAAAGTATGTTGGTGCCATCTTCTCTGTCGCCATGGCTTTAGTCCGCGTGCCAGGTGCCTTCTACCTCCAGACACACATATTGATCCTTGAAGGAAATGTCTTGACGTGAACAGAGTGATATACTAGTATGTAGGTTTTATTATTTTAACACGTATCGCTTCTTTTACTGAAATTCCTAAATATTCTATTTCAGCTTCTCTTTAGCTTTCAAGAAAATCTTGTTTCATTTCATTACCACCCTTTTCAAGTTGTGAAGCATCTAAGCGCCAATTCAAATGCAATGTGGTTTTGGACTTAGCCTCCATGCGATCAGGTTTAATGCTGCCTGTTTACTACATAAATTCGTGTCGAAAAAATATAGATGTTCTCCCACGTCATAAAATGTTTTCAAAAAGCATCTGGGAGATATAGGCAACAAATTATAAACGCAAGGAAGATTGTAGGCAATGCATGGCAAGATTTCAAAATGGCAAGATCATCAAGTTTTCACTGTGTGAATCATGCTTTCTTCAAAAATTACCTCAAGAATATTCCTTTGCTATCACAATGACTAAAATGCTTATATTTCCCTGTTAGCATACATTATGATACACGTTTATTTTCAGCTTGGTAGTATGCCTGAGGAATTTAAAGATTTGAATTTAGATTAGATTACAATGCATTGGTTTAATAATTGCATCATAAATATTGGCAGTAAAACAGTGGAATGACGTCATGGGCTTATACGGCTCATATAGATACCTTAACAATATATCCGGCTTAACAATATATATCTAGCCATCAATCCATCCAAATGTCCATCTATTGAATAGAATAAGTAGACAATAAATAGCATACGCGTTGGCCAAATTATCATCAACCTAGTCATACTCTTCAGGTTAAGGAGTCTTGGATGAACTAAGAGATGAAACAAATAAAGCCTATATACGTGAGGTCTTTATTCGAGGGTGAGTACTCTCTTATCTTTTACAGACATTTCTTTCATGTCTCTATCAAATTCAACACGAAATCCCTTCTTGTGTGTCAACCTGCTCGTGCAGTGAATGTTTTCTTTTCTCTTTTAGTCCTCCATTTTGAAAATTGTACTTTTTGTTAACACTCACAGAGAAGGTCTACTAGGTTGGTATAACTTGTGCCCAAACCATTTCATCATTACATAATATCTTTAAAGCAAAGGACACCGTGGCGAAAGCTATGTTGTGAGGAAGGCAGTTTCTAGAATGCTGAATACACCTAAGAGCAAGACGCCTTCTACCATCTGATGTGCGACTTATCTGCAAGCGCCGGCTTTTCTGCCCGATTACAACACTGTGTCCTTCAGTCATGACATTCGAATGTGACAAATTCTGGACATTTGTGTGTGCACCGACTTATATACTGGGGCCAACTGTTTATTGTCGCAGACACGTGGTCAGCCCATTATATTGCTTTTGTGATTGTAAACCTAATCATGTGTGTTTCAATATAATGTGTTAATTATTCATTGATCTTTTGTGGTTATTTACTGATTTCGCCATTTTGTTCTGTACGTACCAATCTGTCTTTTATGGGAATCAACACGTAACATGATAACCACACTTGATTGTTTGTTGTTTAATGCCGCACCCAGTAATATTCCATCTATATGAAGGCGGTCTGGACCAGTCAGTCCTGGGATTGACATCATGAACATTGATCTACGCAACTGGGATACGATGACATGCATCAACCAAGTCAGTGAGCCTGACCACCTAATCCCGTTAGTCGCCTCTCAAGACAAGCGTAGCTGCCTTTTACGTCAAGCATGGGTTGCTGAAGACCTATTCTTCCCAGGATCTTCACGGGTCGAATAATCACCAGAGGAACCATAGAAACTAAAGCTTTCAGTTGATTGTATCATGTGTTTGATGTTCAGTTATAATTAAAATTAAAGTTAGATATTATAACCAGAAAATGAGTCAGCACTCAGAGAACTCTTCTACGTGGTTTTATGTTTTTAAATTTTATTTCATTTTAAACTATTAAAAATAGTTTTAAATTCGCATTATACACAACTGCCGATGGGTTTCTTAGACATCTTATCTTTGAAAATAAATATATTTGCTGTTTTCGGCACAAATGTACACTTCAAACATGGTAGGGTTCATGTGGTTGTAGATTTATTTCTTAACCCAGCCTTCATTGAACCAATTCACAATTTGTTTTGATCCGTGAAGATTCCGGGGTAGAATAGGTCTTCAACAACCCATACTTGCCGTAAAAGGCGACTATGCTTGTTGTAAAAGGCGAGTGACGGGATCGGGTGGTCAGGCTCGCTGACTTGGTTGATACACGTCATTGATCCCAATTGCGTGGATCGATGCTCATGATGTCAATCACTGGATTGTCTGGTCCAGACTCGATTATTTACAGTCCGCCGTCATACAGCTGGAATATTAAACAACAAACAAACAAACAAACACAATTTGTTTTACACAAAGTTACCCAGTCACAGATTAGTTTTACAAACTGTTGCAGGAATGGGTGATGGTTAAATGACAATCATATCTAACAACATTTCTTTCAATTTGCAATTACATAAAAGACAAACTCAGTATACTTGCTTTTGTCTCTCAGTTTACACTGGTTACATGTACATGCAATATGTATTTGTTTCAGAAATTATGTGTTTACCTTCCAGGTTTGGCGTCGAGGACCCGGAAAACCTGTAATGCACCAATGCAGCCTTGACTTTTATCTGTGTTTTAACGTGTTTTGCTTGCATATTGATATAACTCATTTTTCTCCTTGAACTGATCTTCTTGGTAAGCCACTAGGGACGTTGAAATATACATGTGTGTTTTTATGGGATTTCTGATCAATAGCATGCGTCCCTGATAATTGTTCTCAGGTCGTACATAAAAAGTCCCTGTAAAGTAACATATCAAGCATTGGAGGAACAAACATAGCGTGCCTTTTCTAGCAGTGTACATTAAAGTGAGTGAGTTGGGTTTAACGCCGCTTTTAACAGTATTCCAGTTATATCGTGGCGTGTCAGCTTAATGTGGGAGGAACGCCCGAAGTGATGCAGGTCTCGGACGTTTACCACTTCGGTGAAACCCACGAGCACGGGTATGGTGCTGACAAACCTAGGAACATAATTGGGAAGAAC